GCCGTTTTCGTAAAGGAGCCGAACACGAGCTGTTCACGAACAAATAGTCCTTTTAACAATCCTTTTAACAAATAGTCCAAACAACAAGGGTTTGAGCAAGATTTAAAAATTATTGTTTATATTAAAACATCTTTTGAATCTAATTTAATCGAACACATCTTTTCATTAACTGATCGAACGAAATTAACGAGCTGAACACGAGCTTCTTAACGAGCCGAACACGAGCTGTTCGCGAACAACGAGCCATTTTGACAGCCCTAGTGGCAACACCTACAAATACAGAACAGCAGAGTAAATACTAATTAAAAAAAAAGGCCAAAGATGCGGAGCCTCAATGACGTAAATATTTTACATTGATTAAATAATGATGGACGATGCTTTGGCTGAAATAAACATAGTCCAGGTAACAAAAAGCTATTCAAGAGGACACAACCTGGTCCCACTTATCCGTGCCGTTTTATGTTTCCCATAACCATGGAGATAATGACTAAAATAATTAAAGTACGATACAGTTAGAAGTGATATATATATGATGCACAAATGAAATTGTAGGCAAACTAATGGTCATGCTTGGAATCATTTTTTATTTTTATTTTAAATAATAATAATAATATAAAAATATATGATTATTTCATATTTTATTATCTATTTTATTATTTTTTATTTTGTTTTCAAACAACTACTCACCTATCTCAATCAATCGTGATCTTGATCGTGACCACCATTCCCACACATCTCCGGTGCCTTCTTTTATGTTGGCGCCGATGCCGATGCCTTCGTCGCCAGACACACGACACCGATGCTTTCTTGGATGGCTTTTTCTTCTCCGACGATGTTGCTTCGTCATCTTTTTCTTGATTTCCATCTTCCAACATTTTCTGCTCTACTTCTCCTCCTTACTTTGCATTGCCGGCTAACAACCATTACAGAGATTTCGATGAGGGAGATGATCAAGATATGAGGAGCGGCGAAGAAGAGTGAAGTAAAGCCGATCGACATTAATAGTAAGATTATAGAAGAAAAGCCACAATGCTTTCGCGGGCGGAAAAGCTTTGTCTGACAGTGGACAGATGGAGGAGAGCGGAGGCAGGGGTGGTGAAGGGGGTTGATGGAGGAAGAGGAGGAGAATGATGATGATGATAACGAGAAGGAGAAAGTGGAGGGGATAATTATAATTTTTTATTTTTATTTTTTCAAACATATTTTTTAATTTTTTTTATTTTTAAAATGCAAAAAAATTATAAGCAAAATTAAAAACATTTTTATTTTGTGTCAAAAAAAATAAAATAAAATAAAACATACAAAACTAAAAAAAATTAGAAAATAAAAATGATCCCAATGATTCCAAACGACATTAAAGAAATCATTAAAGAAATAAAAAAGCTGAATTATCGATTCAATAAAGAAAAAACAAATATCATGAGCCATGAATTGGGAAACTGCTGAAAAGATGTACAGAGGTACCTGTGTGCACAGAAAAAAACATTGCACCTAACTTTAGCTAAAAGTCAGCTTCTCTGCAAAACTGTCTAAATCTTTTTCCATGCTGCCCGTTAATTACATGCAAAGCTTCAAGCTTTGGCATTATTATACAGCAAATGAGCCAAATTATGTATCCTCTGGTCACTTGTCCTTCTTGTTTCTGGTGCCGCAATGGTTGGCTAAGAAACATTAATAATGCAAGGAACTAACATTCAATCAACGAATAAAAAAATCAAACCGAAACTGTTAAATGAAGAGGTTTCCACCCTCAGAAATTTGGCTCGGAGTTCTGTTATTCTTTGAATGAATGGAGGCTTATCCTCTCAAGTAGTGACGGCCAGTTGTGACCGAGTTGTTGCGGATTCAGCTCCATTGCAGCCTGAAAATCTTGCATGGAAATCATGTACTGGTTCCTATGAACATTGTTGACATTCATAGACTCTAAACCGTTTTGTAATTTCATGTGATTTCCAGCCCAAATACCATTGAGTGGTCTGCCATTAAATTGTTGCCTCAAAACAGGATCTTTTGTTGGCTTGTGCATTGATCTGCCCCTTGCTAGCTCAATAGTAAACTTTAAAATACGTTTTAAATGAGCATTCAATGCTATATTCAGTAAATCAGCACAGCCCAACGTCACCTTTATTCCTTGTGCTTCTGCTACTCTTTCCATCGACCTTTTTAAATCCTCGGAATTGTACAGCTCGCCATTATCACGATTACAAGCTACAGCCGAAGGAAAAGATCTCCTTTTCCCCCCAACACTAGAAGGTCCATAAGAAACTCCAATGGGCGCCTGAATGGAATTGAGTTCCTTGATTTTTATCCTTTTCCCTTCTTCCATTTCAGAAGCTTCAAGCCGGCGCTTCCTCTGCTCACAAATATGATCACGAAACAATGAAATCGCTCCGCGTCGATGCTTTGGCGGCTTCGTTGCAGATCTACTTTGAACATGTTGCATCGGTATCTTTAAACCAGAAGGACCCGCCACGCCATTCTCCTTAATAGAAATATCTGTAGGTTTCGCTTCATCGGCCCTTCCATTTGATCCCAGAGGGCTCTTCCCGGTCCTCTTCTTGCGCGGGCATGGAGGTAAGATATCACCATTGATTTGGTTAGGCGAAGCTGGTGTTGTTGGTTGTGACGGGCTTAAAGCCTTGTTTACATGAAGGGATGTGTTTGCAGAAGCTCCGGTATGATTCAAGACAAACTTTTCACGGACAGGTGGTGTTGTTGGTTGTGACAGGCTTATTGGCTT